GGGTGAAACAATATAGCTCAAGATTGCTTGGACGAGACCTAATAGAGTTTAGGGAATCAATGCACTGTAATCAAAGGACAGTTTACTACTTTCTGAAAGACAGGCGAATTTGGTTAATGAAGTGAAGGGCGGTCGAAAATAAAAACATTTTCTTTAGTATATTAATTCAGGCAAACAAGGGTAAACAGACAGCATACGTATTCTCTTCTTAAAGTTTATCTAAATATTGATTAGATAGACATTTTTATGAGTACGAAATTCCATAAGTTTATATAATTAAGGATTGAGTCATGCAACAAATTAGTTAGCGATTTCCACAACACCTTGTCACAAAGTATTAACTATAAATTCATCAATGTTAATTTTTTCTTTAGTCTAAATTTTGAAAATGATTTTCTCATGCATCAGTACAATGGAACTGTTTCAGTTTCAAACACCTCAGAATGAACCTAAAACACAAACAATTTCATATAGAAACAAGACGAAGTTTTAAGAACGTAGAAAATATAAAGGTTTGGTTAAATACACAAACTTGACTAAGGTGAAATTAATACAAAAGAAGGAAATTATATTTTCTTTGACTTATATAAAAACCGTACAAAACAAAAACACAAAAACTTAAGGACTTTCACAACGCAATCTCTTTAAAGAGAGAGAGATATGGTCATACTAAGAAGCTTAAATGAAGTATTTGTTTGTGTATTGTATGGAAGTTTCGTTTTAAGCAGCTAATTAAAATTGTCAAAAATAATGTCTCACTGTCAGATATGAAAATTAAAATGTACAAAAACAACAAGTTTCAATTTCAAAAATGGCATACTTTGAAATTGGCTTTGACATTCAAAACTTCATTTAATGATTAACTTAATTGACTAATTTACCGTGATTTGTTCCCTATGCTGATAAGTCACAACAGACTTGAGAACATGGCGCCGCTAATATGAGACATATAATTAGTACAACGATAGTTTTAAGTCTCAAAATCAACAAAATAACTTTGGCATTTCTGAAAAACAAGTAAATAGTATTTTGCGTAATCCCATTGCTACGTTACACTCGATTCAAGTTGTTTGTGATAGCATGCCTTTTCTACAGAACGCGCGACTTTTGACATTTCATTTATGTGTATCTAAATGTGTTTATCAACTTAATCAGGTTCACATGAAGTTCTTACAAGCTTTAATCTCTCTTAAGCAAAGAGTCTATCTACATGCAATTTATGTGACTGACTTTAAGACGGGAAGGTTTGAATCATCTATATATATATATATATATATATTAACAAGCTTTTTTTTTTCTTTTTGTCAGTAGAGCAAATTTTCTGCAAAGCTTTACATAAATATTTCCGGGAATCTGATAAGCCATCTTTTTTAATTGCAATAGATTGAAAGGTGCAGAATCTGAACTTTAAACAAATCGAATTTTTTAAAGTTTATTATTAAAAAATTAGTTTTGTGTAAATAGAATTTCTTAATATATTTCATCTTTCATTTGGTGTGTTGATTTCTTTATCAATCTCTACGTTATCGTACCTATCTCCCTCTGCACATTTCTCCCACTGCAAAAAATATATTAGCCATATTCAAATAGATTACATACTTATAAAACTTTGTTGAAAATCTTAAGACTCGAAAGCCATTCTTCATATTACACACACACACACGTATATATAATACAAGCCTTAAACAAAATGAATAAAACTAGGAATTTGTAAACCATTAAATATTTTATGTCTAAAATTAATTGCCAAATACTATTGGGTTGACTTTTCTCAAAACTTTATAGACTATTAACATTTAATCTATATCTCACTTTATCTAAAAGTAGATGTTTTACATGATCATGTTGAATATTAATTGTTTAACTATTTTAATTAATGCCCGTATTTTAGGAAGATTAAGTTGATATATTTTTCGAAAAAAAAATAATACATATATTCATGCTAGATTAAAAATGTTTTCTAGATTACTACAAAATTATTCAAAATCTTTTTTTTTTCTTTTACCTCTTACTATATTTGTTAGAAAACTATCTCAAAAATTAGCAATACAGTTATTATTACTTAAATTTCAAACAGTAGCATTATTGAAACCTTGAGATAATCCATAAGGATAGAACATTTTTAACTTCAGGATATAAAATGTTTACGTTTTAGTCCGTTAGTTTCTTCATAAAACATTTTGAAATAGTTATAAAAAAAGTAATTGGGTGAACTCTAAAATGTTTTAATTCTATGGAATTTATTACTTTTATTTTTACTTTGAGATCTATGCATATATACGGGTATATGTAGTGGATTTGAAGCAGTTAGTCAATTGTACCATCCGCCAACTTATGGACTACTATTTTCTGACCGTCACTCTTACAGTGCAACCAGGAATTTAAAGTGCGGAGCTAGTTTAGTTTTTCAGCAGTTGTATGCGAACCATGAATCTTCGGATTCATAATATGGGCACTCTTATCATTAAGCCACGCCTGATCCAGAGAAAGAGAGAGAGAAAAGAAGAGCTAAAAATATTTTAGCGCCAATGCTATAGTGATGCACCAAAATGAACAAAAACACAGAATTAGAATATTCTCTTCGAAGGTCATGGATAGCAGGTGGTTTTATAATGGGTGACACTTTGGGAGAACGTTTCAACACACTTTCGTAGGTGTTTTAATCTGACCAAGAGTTGAAGAAGATCAACGAAGTGCATCAAAACCTTCCAACAGAATTAGAATATTTTACCTCTAAATTTAAAGTTTTATGGTTGCTACGCCAATGTCTACGAATATATACACACACATACATATGAGGCACAGAGTTATTACCCACTGAGCTTTATATATGTATATACCCATTATATGTAATAATAATTAACCAGCTATATTTGGATCTTCTAAAACATATATATAGTAATTTCCACTTAGATACGTGATTATAATTCCAATATTGTTTTACATATTATATAAGTAATATATCGATTACAAATATTTTGCTAAAGTTTTCTTAGGCCAAATATGACGACATCCAACAGGCATGAAGTGGGAACAAAATTGATACAAAGCTTTGTAATTTTATATTAGAACCGAGTACCGTTTCTCCTAGTTTCCCAACAGCGAGTATAGAAATAACACAGGATCAGAATAGTGAAGTATTCGAAAACTTCTACGTATGATTCAGAGAAAAACATTCGTTCCTGATACCGTAGTGGAAACATGTTTCTGTCGTCTCTATAAACGTCAAAACACTTTTTTTTTCAGAGTGCACGAGAGCACGGAGGGGGAGATCGTGCGCTACGTACAACAGACATTTCTTTGTTCACCATCAAGAAACTCCTATTTCCGTTTCATGCCTTAACGCGCCATTAAGCCTATCCGTCTATCTCACGCTGTAAGCTTTCTTGAAAAGTAGGATTCAAAGCGGTACAGGAACATAATTTATCTTAACATGCCTACCTCGCACGTTTAAACATGCCTTGTGAGCAGAACTTCGTTGTACAAAGGACCTAGTGATAGTCGTAGTCTACAACAAATTTTTGACATTGTGTCTCGACAAGCGTTTTTCAATAGGAACAGTATCACTCGTCATTAAAATACTTCTGAATAAAACCGCTGTGTTTATGTCCTCCGCTGACCCGTAAGTTCTAAAACCTTCTAGAGTGATTGATGTTATATGGCTCAAAGTATGGTTTGTGTGGGCTGATTAGGGGCCAATATAATAAAAGAACCACAACTGACAAAAAAAAGAACAGACTACCCTTCACTTCAGATGGGATGTTTTAATATTGTATATGTGTTTACTGACTTGATGAAACTAGATCTAACAACCACGTGCCTAAATAGTTCTATTGAGGCAGAAGGTGTTAGAGGAAGATTTTTTGTACCTCATCTTGTGAGAAAACTTTTTGTTTTGACAGAAAACTCAAAACATGACAATATTCTACATCTCAACATTCATCCGTTATGCTATATGTATACATGTTAATTCATAATTAATATTTAATCTTCGGTTCTCGGAATTATTAGTATGCAATATTAAATAAGAAGTTACTACACTTATATTAAGTAGACAAGTCCTGTTTCAATTACATTTCATAAAAACTACAATATTACTATATCTAGTATAATAAACAAACGAATTCCTATGAAAGAAAAACAAACAATAAACTACTGAATCGTTAATATTAAAAACTTATGACTTCGAGAAGATATCATAATAAAAACATTATAAGGCTTTTTTATTTAATTGTTAAACAACGGATTAATTTGAATTACTAAACAAAATATAAAAACAACAATATTTAGACCGTAACAGATACCTGCCTTCACTATTTGTACACGCACACTTTCGAGTCTTGCAATGCGGGTTACGTAAGACTTATTTATGGTATACGTCTAAGATACCCTCAAAGACTATACCTAATTAAAGAAACTTGTAAAGATACTTATAGAAGGTCAATGATTCTTTTTAAATAACTGATCAAGATTAAAAAGACAGGTCAGAGACTTCCAACGTAGAAGCATAGCCGACCGTAATTTAGAACTGACGACCATAGGGAGGGTAACCACTTAGAGCATAGCCGACCGTAATTTAGAACTGACGACCATAGGGAGGGTAACCACTTAGTAGCACTCGCCATTTACACAGATACTCGATCTTAATCGAATAGAAGGATATTCTTTAACTTCTATAACACTCCCACACCTGAAAGTGTGAAGCATGTTCAAAGATATGTTGCGGGCTCGAACCTTGGACTTCTAGATCCGCAGCACGGCACACTAACCACTAGGCCACGCTTCATCCGTTCAAATTAATTACAATAGTTTTATAAGGTTTTGAAAGTACACCATTAAGTTCTTTATTAATAAATTATTTTAGCTTATCAAGTGAAAAACTCTGTTTAGTCCTACTTGCATGATGTAAAGGATAATATTCAATTAACAGTAAAATCTAAGATATTCCAAGGTAACCATAGTAGTGACCTTTAAAACAGAAAAAAAAACAATCTACTTACTTCCAAAGTAGAAAAGAAACAACCAAGATGGCGACAAATACCACAGAAGAGCAGACAGCAATAACAGGAAGAGACGGAAAGGTAGGATGTGTGTATTCAGCCCCTAGTGGTCGAACATCACAGTACTGTAGGTCGGAATTTTGGCCTTGGCACAGCTGGAAGGAAGGAGAAGCAGGAGGAGGTGGAATCAAGAACTGAGGGGGAGGAGGTCTTGGACAGTCACAGTTGTCGTACTGCTCATCTTCTCCACTCCAGTATGGATTTAAATCTATGTATCCGTTATTCTCGGGGTCCATGGTTTAACAGGAAAGACGAAATCTGTGGAATTGAAAAAAAGAATTCATTATAATCATTTACTTGCTGCTAAATAGTATGCAGTACAAAATAAATGTAGTACAAAGTTAATTAATCTGATAAATTTAATATTCGCAACTTATATATATATATTCGCTTTTAAAGTTTTGAGCTAGAAAGGAGTGAAATGTCACAAGTCCACTCTCCTCCCGATGTAACTAACTACCATGGTCTTGGAAAGTGAATTGCATCCAGGAATTTGTTTGGCCGTTGAACCAAATATGCAAAAATAAAACAATTATTGGACACAATCATTTTTAACTAAGCAAAATGTGATTTTTTTTCTATTATTTTTGTCTTATTTCTCTCTACTACCATACAAAATCGAAGTAACCCACGTTCTTTAAAGCGCATTCTGCTCGCAAACAGAAATGGAGAGAGAGAGAGAAAAGCCCGACTGGACCACCCCCCCCCCCTGTCACCCTGCATATTTGCAGTAACAATGTTCTTACTGGAATAAACATAGGATTTCTATAGAGAGGATTGAGTAAGTTATATTAAAACAATTTTGTATGTGCAAATCAGCAAGTCACGTGATAATCACTGCCAATATAAAGACACGCTTAAACAACCTGTATTAAAAATATTTTGATTTTTGATGGTAAGGTAATGCCACCAAAAATTGATTTATTTGGGGAAGGGTACGTACAGCCATTTTCAACACAAAATATTCATACACTCAGATCATAAAAGATATGTTCAGAACGAGGGTTTAGAATTTCCAAAATAGGGATATCCCTTTCACTTAACGGCATTGGAAAAACAAATGAGAGTGGATCAACTTGGGGCAGCCATGACCGTTCAGAAAGAGACCTGTAACAACTCATACTCCAACCGAGGCACGCAAGGTTCGGCGTCTTGTAGCATACACCTCAAGCAGCTTGTCAAAGAAACGGCTATTCATGTTATTCCATAAGAAAACACATCTGTCAAATCGCCAGAAGTAGTGGTTATGTATTTCTGTGTAATCTGACTGTTGAAATGTGCATAGGAAACAGTTCCTCGTATAGATGGTATATAGAAAGCACCAGGGAGAAATGATGTGCTTTGGCCATGACAGATTTACGACAACACTTTTTTTGCAAGAGAAACTACACTGCCTGGCTATTGTCAAAATGCACGGTCGTAAGATAATGCATGACCGAACGACATGGTTATGCTTATAAATTTGTTTTAATATAACAACGTACTCAACCCTCTGTATTTAAATTTTTTTAATGTTCTGCTCGTATAATAACTTAAAGATCAAAATATATTTTTCATTCTTAGGGATTAAAGGGTAATTTCAAAGACGTTATTTCAATTATAACTTCTGTAATACTGAATGTTGAATGTGAAAATTGAACAAATAACAAGGTCACGACCATTATATACTGAGCATTAAAAATGCATTACGAAATCAATCGTATAGCATATGATTGTATTTCGTTAGTCATAACTACTGATTGTTTATCAATAGTTCTGTGTCTTTGTTTTTGTATATGATTGTAAAATACAAGTTATGCCCACAACAAGAGGTGTTCAGATACCGGTAACTTGTGTGAAGATTTCGTGCCTACTTTTGTTGGGTAGATAGACACTTCGAACAAACCACAAACTTCTCTGTACCCCGAAAAAAATCCATCATGTTAATGGGTAATAAAGATAGCCAAAACAATACCCTTTCACGTTCTCTCGGAATTGAGGAAATTATGACTAACCATTTTCCATCATGGAAGATTTAAAAAAAACACACTAGAGAATTAGACGTTACTATTTATTTCTACATTTAAAATTCATATTTGATAACTCTTAACATCAAGTACCTAATACCATATTGGACGGCATGTGCACTTTGACTCTTACACGTACACATAGGGTTAAATTGTGTTTCATGGGGATGGCGAGAAGGTGTGTGTGCGTCGTTCGCTCTGCAAATATAGCGATCAGCAAAGGAACGCGAGCCATTAAACATCCCTTGTTCAGTGTCGGCTTCACCGAAGTAATATGGAAATGGCAGTTCGTCTCGAGCCGTTCGTTCGACTAGTTACCAACTTAAATCTACCTGTGAGGTTACCTCCCGAGTTCCTTTATCAGAATTCATTGAAAATTTGATTCAACCAGTTTCTCACAACAATTTAGAAGGTCAATACACTAAACAAACATACGAACAACTCAGTTTTATATATATACAAATACATAATTCTCCCTAATCCCGGATTCACGCAAGGGCTGACGAGACAACAGCTCCGGAAGCTTTGGAGTTTGTTTGTTTATTTGTTTGAAGTTAAGCACAAAGCTACATAATGGGCTATCTGTGCTCTGCCCACCACGGGTATCGAAACCCGGATTCTAGCGTTGTAAGTCCGCAGATATACCGCTGTGCCACTGGGGGGCGGCTTTGGAGTCCCTACAGACCTTGAACAAAAATTAAAAAATATATACAGTTCCATTAGTGGGCCCCTAAAAGTACATTAGCCCCTGGTTCCACATAAAGGCTTAATCCGGCCACTTATTTCCGTAAAATGCAATATGTAATGAATACAGTTTTGCACCAACATTTCTTGAGGTTCTAATGAAGATTTGGTCACTGATAATTATTGACTCTGATCTGTATATATATATATATATATATATATATATATATATACAATATAATAATACGTTATTTATTTTATTTACGTTAGTGTAGAGAGTAAGAATGTTACAATAACATGGAGTTAACTAGATTGAACTGGAATTTCTTTAATTTTAATTTCGAACTATGTTATTTTGTTAATAATTCAATACTTATTTTTACTGCTAAAGAAGAATATACAATTATCCAAAAGCGCTCGAGTTTCTGAGCTTTTTGAAATCTGCTTGATTTCTTTTTGGTGATCCTTTGTACTAATTCTTTCATGACGCACGACATTCAAAATAATAGCATATACTAACAAGTGTTCAAGTTAACGTAGTATTACGTTCAGGTCGATGAGAATAGGTGTTTAGCCACCTCGAAGCTACAATGTTTTCTTATTCGTATAACAGATTTTGTTTATCTGTAGTTTTCGTGCAAAGCCTCTCTAATTTTGAACTGATACACTAAAGGCAAGGCAGTTAATCAACATCACTCACCGTCAACTTTTGTCAGGGTGAACAGTGGGATTTGAACGTCAGTCTTATGACGAAGCACACTTACGGATAACACGTCCGGAGAAAAACCTCAGGAAAATTAAATATAGATTAAATATTGTAATAATCTGTTTGAAGATAAATTTTTCTTTCAGAAACTAAATATTCTTGTGTAAAAGTTATAGACACATATTTCGTTTTGTAATGATAAAAAAAAACTATCTGAGCTCTACTCACCGCGGGTATCGAAACAGGATTTTTAGCATTATAAGCCCTAAGACTGAACCATCGAATGGCACTTAAGAATAGAAAGCTACAATATAAATTGTCAAACAACTGTCAAATATATCTTCCAAAACAAACAGAAATAAAAACAAATATACTAATATACAACATACATTTGTTGAATAAAATAACTTATTCAGGGCAAACAAGATTTAAATACGCGAAACAGCAACATTGATGACAATATACGAGTATGCTGTTTGTACGGACTAATTATCATAAAACATGAGTGTTTGTTATATAATGACAGTAAAACAAGCAAACTTACGTATATAATGTCATACGATCTGCAAACACTAAAGTACCACAATAGTAGTAAAAGAACAAAAGAATTAAAATAAGAAGTCATTAAAACTATAAATTAAAACCAGAAAATTCTAAAGCCATGAATTGTTTTTTTGTGGACGTATCTATGACGATGCCCCTTTTCATATTCTACTTAATATTAATTAAAAATTTATATTAAAAATATACATTTGTACTTTTAATTATAATCAACCTCCGACCATAAATCAATTTTGTTTATATTTATTATGTAAAATATGAAGACTGATCGACTATCAACGAAACTGCCATGTGAAAACTTTAAACTTGTTTCTAGAAGTTTGTTTGTTTTTGACACAAAATACACAATAAGCACCGCGTGAGGTCCATATCTACAAGAGACTCACAAGTAAAAATAAAAGCTAGGTATAACATGTTGCTAAGTAGTAATTTACTAAAAAAAGTGTTAGAAAGGTTTAGACAAAGATTAGGGCAAGATTTTTTTTACCCACAATCCATTGTATTTTAGATAATAACAGTGGTGCCTCACGTACGTGAAGTGTTAACACACTACATTATCAGTTACGAAAACAATGAACGTACGCTGGAAAATAAATCAACCATATTTTTAAAAGATATTTCGTTATCAAATATATTTCTAACAAACATAATTCTTACTCTCATTTGTGTCTATATTTAACATAATTCGCCCACAAAATTTATGTTAAACAGAAACATGAATTACTTACTGGCAGTATCAGCATCATTCAAATATATAAGATGCTTTTCAAGATGCCGATTGTTGACTAACCTATTTCCCGAATATACTTAAAATCAATAGATGGTTGTTACTCTTATCGTGACACACCCAGACTGTTCTTTGTTGGTGATGAAGGTGGAGATTCTCATTAACACAAATATCATGTTCTCTACTTTTGACTCTATTTTAACACCACAAATTTGACTTCCAGACAAAGATAAAAGGTTTTTAAAGAAAGCACTATCGCAACCTGTCCATGAAGATTATAGGCTATACTTATTGGTCCAAATTTCACGACAAAGAAAAAAAAAAGAAATATATTGAGAAACAGAATCAAATTCAAACAATTATAAAAAATCCTTTATCCACACATCAACATTTACTCGTCAAAATAACACGAACCTTAACTGGTAATAAAAGTGTTATTTATATAAAAGAAAAAAAAGTCGTCAACGTCAGACAAGGGAGAATTATTGATTATTAAAGAATTGTTTTTGCTGACAAGAAAAAAAGCTAGTTAAATTTACATTTATTTTCAAAATGTGCAATATTTTCACAAATAAGGAATGTATTTACAGGTTAAAAAGCATTTCATGAAAATAAAATCATAAATCAGAAAGGGATCTTATAAAAATAAAGTAAACGTCTGCTGAATCATTTGTTTCTGAAAAATGAGTTATTGTCCTTCAGCTTCAGAAGGAAGAAAGCTTGCCACACCCAAACTTATTAGACAACGTCATTTCATATTAACAGTAAATAGGAACATGCATATCGAGGTTATTGGCTTGCGCGTAGTTAAAGTTATTCGGGTTTATTTTTAAAATATTGGTCATTAACCATTGAACATAAGACAGATTATGTAATTACAGGGCAACATGTGCTTGTACTTTTCAGAATTCCTAACTATTTATAACGTTACTATGTCAGAAGTATACTCAAACACGAATCATATACTTGAGTGTTCAAGTCACTCCTTCACTTAAACAATCGAATTATAGTGTAATCAAACAGAACGATAGTTTTGTGCCAAAAGAAATAAAAAAGAAAAAACTACTAAAGTAATGTCTGTTTACACAGTTTACTCATTATGCATAAAATATAAATGCTTATTACTCTTCTCCAGAATTAAAAATAGCGGATGTTTTTATTTAACCTGAACGAAATGCGTATATAGAACAGATCTGCAAAGTGTCATTCGCTAGCTTTACCTACTATTGATTCTAGAGCCATGTGAAGTTTTCCAGAAACTTTCAATACCTCCAATCTTTGTTCAGCAACAAAGAAAGATATAAACGCAAACATTATTTTTTCAGTGGTATGAACATGAATGTTTAGTGTGTACACTTTTGCAGATTTTGTTTGTCAAACAAGTAAAATCTGCTTCAAAACAGCTTATCAAAATAAATTGCATTTCGTCGCTGTAGGAAGCAAACAGTGAGCACCCAAGTGCAATAGCGAACGCCAGATTGAACAGGGGCCAACTTGTCCCAACTTTATCTCTCGCAAATTTTACGATTATATACTAATTCTAGCGATATCGGCAGGACGCAAGTAATCCGAAAGTCTTTTTATCTATGTTAGCTGCCTAATTATTTTTATTTCTATATAAATATTTATTATTGAAAGCATGTCACATCAGTTTTGAATAAAAATGAACGTTGATTAATAAATAAATTAAGTAGATTTGCAAGTTACCTAATTTTTGTGAGGAAAATTACATACCCATCTCAGCCCGACAGAGCCAGTGAATGTCTACAATTAAAAGTGAACTCTTAGTCCATAATGGATTTCTTTTTGAAGCTCCTGTGATGCACTTTAAATGTCTTAAGTTTTGCAGGTTATTTTAAGAAGATTGCTCCTACGTCTTTTTTCCCTTGAAAACACGTACAAATTTGATAAAAATGAGCAAAATCTCTGCGAGGATTTTCAGTAGCGTTTATTGTTG